GCTGCCTGAAAAATGGTCCTCTCCTTTGCCCATGAAAATCCTTCGCAGTCACCCCAGCTCTTCCACAATAAACACGGTGCTTTTCTTGAGCCTTCTCATCTCCATCCATTCGTTGTTACAGACCGTGCATGAAAGATTGGAATGCGATTCCGGGGCCACTTTCCAAGATGTCGTCGTGATATTGGCACAGGCTGCCTGTCAACAAGCCTTTACTTCGTAATAGTTGCGGTAGTACGGCGGATCAATGCCAATTATCTCCGAAATTCCCGTATATAGATGCGCTTTTTTTTATGTTGTCATGGCGTCGTTTCAGCTCACACTGAGTGAGTCACAAGCTTATAAGCTTGTTCAAATTCCAATCGCGTCGCTAAAAGAAAGTCGAACGCTTGTGTATCCATTACTTCCTCCAGCCAACGTTCCAAATAACGTGGGCGATATCACGGGCTGTATTGACTGTGTCAATAACTCGGCCGAAAATGCCGTCTCCGGATTGTATTTCGCCCTCCTCATAAGGCATAAACATACCAGATGGTGTGCGTCGCATGCCCGCAGGCTCCTCACAAAGACTGCCTGACGAGATGGATCTGCTCAGGCCTCCATTGGCACCTTCGTTGGGAGGTGATGCCCACCCTGACCGGGGGCTTAACAAAGCGTCGTCAAGGCCATCATCGTGGTCTTCCTCGCCGAAAAAGAACTTTCCTGATTGTTTGGTAGGTCGTAGTGTCTCCTGTGAAGATGAAGGAGACATGAGAGGGCTTCGGGAGTGCTTCATTGCAGTCTCTCGTGGCTCAGGAGTGTCTTCCCGATACTTGAGGGTGGTGGACGGCAGCATGGCAATTGTCTTGCCTTCAGCAGCTGGTTTTGACTTCATAGTCTTGCGTCGAGAAATGGGTCTCTTTTTGGTCCTGACTCGTTTCATCATCACACCATCATCTGAGTCGCTGTCTGAAGCAAAGTGCTCATCAATCATTTCATCCTCATCTTCGCCCTTGGCTTCAACAGCTATGCATTGCTCGACTTGCTCGTTGAAATGAATGTGTTTTCGCTCAGAATTGGGGGAAATGATTCCAGATGACTCGACTGAAAGAGCAACGCTGCTGCTGTCTCCGCTCAACCGACGTGATGCGAAGGGATAGGCGAAGTAATCTGTTGATGAGCGACCAAGATGGGGTCGAAGAATTCCTCTTGTCTCTTGGGCCTTGACAGCTGCGGTAGCCTGCTTCAATAATGAAGCTGTAGACAATGATCGCTGAAGCATAACTTCGGACATGCTTCTCTTCTTGAGGATAGGCTTCTTGTTGAGGTTGACCAGTGAGTCAGCTTTGGATAACGACACGCTTGAAGGCTCCGTATGCGTAGGATGGAGATTCTTGGGTCCTGACTGTAATGGGCCGTAGAGCCAGGTGACATCACAATCTTTGAGCCTAGGGAGCGTAAGCATTTTAGTAGAGTTGGGGGGAATATTCTGAGGGAAACAAACCAGTTGAGAGATTCGGGGGAGATAGTCTTGAGGTTGTTTTTGGCCTTCATCCAGGTCCTCCAAGAAGCATTTTCTAGCCGAGCACTGTTGGGGAACTCCCCACGTCGAGTGACGACATATCGCCATGATGACCAGATATCCTCCTCCCTCCATTCATGAGATAGATAATCCACCTGGCGGGATGGTCGACTTGACACTGCAGTGTCATCCTCTGCATGTTCCGACTTTTCATGTTCAGGCGTTTCGGGCCTTGATGTATCATCAGAGACGTCTTCAGAGTTCTCGTGTTCCGCAGGAGAGACAGTGTACGAGTCGCCGGTCCGGGGACTGGGCGGTGGCTCTAGGTTGTCATCATGGTGGATTTCAGGGCGGATCTCTTGGTGGACATAAAACTTCTCCTGCGCAAAGGATGGAAACATGAAGTGATCTTCAGGTGATTCAGCGAGTCCAATGTTGTCGTCGTAGTCAGAGGCAATGGAGAGATTAGTGGCAGGAGTAGATGCGTAGGAGAGATCGACAGAGTCGGCGTGGATGGTACGGGGAGACGAGGGAGCAGATGAAGAGTTGGATTCGGCGTAAGACTTGGATGCAGGCTTGTAATGGTCGCTGAGGTGAGATGAAGTGGAAAATGGTGAATTCGATGAGATGAAGTTGGAGTGAGAATGTGAGCGTCGTAGGCCGGAGCCGGCGAAGTAACCGTTGTCGTCGGATGGAAGAACGACAGCCATGATGGGAGTTTGAGGAAAACCGAAGGAATCTTTGTCAATGCCGAAGCACCCAGGAAAGGTGAAATTGGGAGGGCTCGAGGTTAGAGACTCATGGGTACAGACGAGTGCAAAGGCAATCAAAACGTATGTTAGGTATGCTATCGATTTGAGATGAATTGACGAGTGTCAAAGACCTAGCGTGGGCACGAAGTATAGAGAATAGGATGGATTTCACAATGTGGGTGGGGGGCAGGCTTATAGCAGTTTGTAGTTGCAGGCGTAGAGTCAACCTAAAGAGCCCGGACAAGTGCTTGAGCAAACAGCAGGCGATAGCCGTAGCCGGGGTCCTTGGGGGCAGGTGGACAGGTTCTGTTTGGGGCTAGTTTCTAGCGTACTGTACCGGAGGAGTACGTAGCGTAACCCGGCGCTGGTGTTGTGGGTGTGTGTGTTTTCTGGGCGTGTACTGTACGAGGGTTGGATGGATGGATGGAGCGATGGGGATGGCAGGCCAGGGATGAGCTAAACCTGGTCGAGGCGTGGTGGCGTTGAAGCGACTGAAGACCTCCCCCAGACCCAGTTGCGGTGACGAATTTCGTGGGGACCGTCCAGGTGTGGTCGAGTCCAGTCAGTCAGTGTGTGCTTCTGCGCTCGCTGGTCACTGTTCGTTCGTTATGCACTGACACTTCGGTCACCGGCCGGATAGCGGAGTCTTGCGCCCGCTGCGATGGTATTGGGCAGACGGTTACAGTGGGTGTTTAGCGTAGTGGTTGGTGGTTGAATCTGCCCCCCAGGTTCGGCGAGGTCCAACTGGGTGGTTGTTGAAAAGAAGGAGGAGGAGCATGAAGTTTGAGGAATGAATAAGTCGCAGTGATGGAAGACGATGAGAAGAGTACTAGCTAGGTAGGTAGGTTTATAGGAAAGGTGAGATAGTCAGAATGTATGGCGAATCTGAGAAAGAGCGGGGATAAACGAGGGAGAGATGATGGAATAGCTGCCCTCGGGGAGCAAGAAAATACCGGACCTTGATATAAGGTGTCAAAATAAACTCAGCAAAAGATATCCTAAGTTTATGTCAAGTTACCTAAGTCTTTTTGTCATTTAGGATCAAGGTCCTGAGTTTTCTTTCCTCCCCTTGGGTACCTTGGTAGGCACTGATTTGGGTTTGACTCTGTGGAAAGAAACGGGCAGGTCAATCAATCACTCAGGTCACTGTGGGAAGAAGGAAGGGAGGGCGGGGGAGATAAGAAAGCCACCAGAGACGGCCTTGACCTTATCCTCGAGACCGCAAGTCAATTGCTACCAAAATTATAGTACGGCAGTATGGCAGAGTACATTCCTACTAACTGAGGTGCTTAACTTAGATAGTAGCCCAAGGACATTGACGACAACATAAACTCTATCATGTCAAGGGACCGATGAGATGATTTTGGATGGCGCTCAATCGCCTACCCCCTCACTAGAAAGAGGACCTTTAAACTTCAGAGAACGATTACGATTGCGATACAGACACAGATGGATGCAGATACAGTGCCGCTGCGGCTACTGTCAGATTATCGGTAGTTGGGGGGAACGGTGAGGGGAGTATGTATTGTAATTATATTGCTGCAACTCAACTCATGAGCTACCTCGACTAGAGGTGTATCTATCTGCGTTGCGACTGGCGGGCGAAGACGGGACCCTTTGCCTAGATCCAATGATCTTCCTGATATCCGATCCCATCTTCGGGTACTCCTCAATCTTCCCCAGTTCAGCGGCACCGTGTTGCAATAGCTAAGGTAAGGTAGGTGAGATTGTGCCCAGGGCTGGTCGGTCAAACATCAAGGCTTTGGCGAGCAGTACGTTGATCCCCTTTGGTGTTTAGCCAGTCAGCCAGTTAAAACTGCATCCATCTACACAGGTAAGGTGAACGTATCTATCTACCGTACCGTATATGCATGCATGCATATGTACTCCACACGCATGCACGTCCAGTATATGCTAGAGATGGCGACAGAAGTCTAGGCGAGAGTCTCATTCTCAATCTATTTCCTAGACCAAGTCAAGGGAGACTCGACAAGTATCTAGAATTTCATCTTTCATCCACAGCTCTCAAGCACCTACCTCAACATTGGCGAATGTCTCAAAATGTCTGACTTGGATGCTTGGCTTGCGGCGATGAGCCGCTGGGGTAACGAGGGTGTCTGTCGTCCTCTGTTTTGGAGACTGGTGTGAGGACCCTGAGGGGAAACAGTACGGATACGTATCATGAATCTGTCTCAGGCTACTCTTATATAAATCCCGACTCTACCTACAGCTACAAACGTGTTAGTTGCAACGACTTCAGGAGCGATATGGTCGAGATCGAGAAAGTAGAGACACGGAAAGATAATTCAGCCCGATGTGATCGAGGTTCATAGCTCGCCCCCCAGACGTGGGGTTGTCAGGGAATATCCTTTCAATGTTGCAGAGCAAAAGTTCGTCCGCTCGTTATCAGAGCCATACAGTTCGACAGTACATACATACAGCTCCGGTGCACCAATAACTACAATCTTATAAGGTCGCACGCAAACTCACGCCATTTCAAAAGGTCGGTTGGCAATTCCATCCGTGGCATCACAACAGCCAACTCTGTACAGATACACCAGAGGGACTGAGTTGCTGCTACCTGCGCTGTAGAACAAGATGAGAAGCCTCAGAGAAGGGGGGCGTGGGGGGTGTCTCTCAAAAGCGTGGGAGGTTCCAGCATGGGCTTCCAGCCAACATGGGGGCGCAAGCGAGAGGAGAGTGGTTGTGATAGAAAGCCTGAGAGATTTTTAACGAGTATTTCCATCATCATGGCTGCAAAGAAGCTGCCGTGCCTGCGCGCGTACATATGTGTGTGTCTGTGTGTTGGGCCATGCATTCCCGAAAGCAATATGATGATTCCCATAAGCATCATGCTCTCTCTCAATGATACACCGGGTAAAAAGTGTGAGTTCGGAACGCGTAACAAACCCTCTGCTCTACTCCGTACAGTAGACGTATAGTGTAGTCTGAGTCAACCAAGAGGTCAAGTTTCGGACATCACTCTGTTGGCATTTCTCCAACCCATGCCGCAAGCCAGTCGTCGACACTTGAATTCAGAGAAGGGTATCATTTAGTTAACAACCAACACAAATGAACCCAACGCGGAAATCCGCCAGACAGCTCATCCCTTGAATTGAGTTCATCTTCACCGGCCCTGACTTACCGTTTGTAGCTCTTGGTGCAGATTAAAGAGGCTCAAACCTAGTTGGTGAAACAATGGGCCAGTGGAAGTATGTATGTATATACCAATGTAAATGAGTATTATCATGTTTCTGTTTCTATCTTTAACCGATAAGAGCCTTTGGTGGCTGATGCAACGTGATGTGCGTTTCTACGAACCAAATTGGTGCATTGCCCTCGTAATAAACTCCACTGTACTCCGTAAGCATTTCAACTCTGCCAAAAGTTGATTTTCTAACCACGATAAAATTTAATTACAGCGTAGGCTTGACCCCATGACCATCATGTGAATTGCGAGGGCCTTGACCTTGACCTTGAATCGTATACAATAAGATGAATCAACAAGGTTGTTTGCGGGGTTAGAGCCCAACTCCGTGAAGCAATTTGCTTCGAAAGTAGATATCCACTCGGGAGAAGCGACCGTTGCAAGGGAGAACAGGATCCCACTCTCTGGTAGCGAGCGGCGATAGCTTGGGCTTGGGCTTGGGCTTGGGCTTGGGCTTGGCCGTCGACCATCACGAGCAATGCAGAATCACCAGTCTGTCTCCTGACGGACAGGGAGGGCCACAACGGTATAAGTTAGGAAGCCAGGGGAGTGCGCGTGATCAAACTGACTGAGACGGACGAATCCATCGCAAGTCCGTCCTTGGTGAGCCTCACCCTGAACAGCGGGACGACATAACAAGCACGACATTTGAGTCCGTCTATGCGACTCATAAGTTACGCGCCTTCAGCTGGTCCGGGCGTAGGTAGATGTCTTCTCTGCTCCTTTTCGGCTTAATCGAAAGTCCTCGCCCCCGTTCCTGATGAACCAGGAACAGGAGACATGAGTCTCAGTCTCATGTGCCAAAGATCCGGGATGATCAATGAATGAAAGCAGTCGGTTTCTCATGATAGAGCAACCAGAGAGTCTGCTGTCGGGGTTCCTCGAAGATCATGGAGACCGTAGACTTCGACGAGCAAGATATCCAGTATCAACACCAGCACCTCACCCAGAAGAGGCTCGAGCCACGATGGCTTCACCTATCAGTTCGGCTCGACTCGTGATTAAAAAAGGCAACTCCATATTAAGACTCTTCATCCTCCCCCATCTCTCCCATGCCCGTAATTTCAGCCTCTTCTGGCCCCCCGTTGGAATGGGCTCGGGTACCAGATTCGAGACAGCCGGGGCGAAAGCGGAGTCTGTGGAAGTGCAAAGCCTCAGCAACAGGACAGTGAAAGAAGAAAGAGTCAGGGTTAAGTCAGGTACCTTAGGGGGTGGTTCATTGGAGGGCCCAGCGGAACGGTCCAACCTAGACAGCCGACCATGTCCCCCGGGGGCCCACGGATAGTTCCCCCGAGTAAGACGAGAGCCTTGTATTGGACAGACAACTTAGACTTTTGGGCCCTAACAAGGGGACAACCACAGCCTAATGCTAGCAAGGGTCTATCAGCCAGTCCAGGCCAGGAGAAGCGACGGGAGGGGCAGGGGGAACATCGTCGGGTTGGTTTTTCTCCTAAATTTTCATCTTCCATTTTCCAATCTTGCCCTTCGCTTAGGCTTTTCGCAACTGCCCGAGAACAGAGAGGGCCGGATAAGTTCCAGAAGCTGCTCACGCCCCTGATCATCCAGAGGAAGAACCAGTTTTATTTCATTTTAGTGTCATCGGCGGAATTGATTGGATCGGATGTCATCGTCAATTCCCCAGATAAACCCCGAATATGAGACGCAGAGGCAGGCGTGATAATCAATCATATTAGCTGGGAAAAAATGTCGAAATTTTTGAGCCTCCTCCTGATGAGATCCACTCCACTTACAACAGCAACCACACAACCATACGTTGCTTTGCCAAACAGTTGGTTTTTTTTTTCCTTCTCTAATGGCCTCACGCTATGACATGTCTCACTCAAATGCAGGGCTCTGTCTTGACCATGCTTGATCCAGGTAACGTCATTATCGTTTATTTTTGTGCTCATAAATATTCTTCTTCTGGCGTGCTCAGTGGCGTTGTGCCCTACCCTCGATCACGAATTCCGCATAGGCAAATTCCAGGGTCTTTAAAAAATAAAAATAAAACGTCTCTGGACATGGGTGATTGCTGCGCTGCACAGTGCCCTTCATCATATCCTAACTTTAGATAGGGTCGATGAGGGAATTCTCCAGGTCTAGGAGGCTCAAAACTCAAGCTTGGTTTTGCCAGGGTGGTTTGCGTTGACTCCTACGTACAGCCATTGTCCTCGCGGCTGAATACGACACAAACCCTAACTTCTGGAGACAAAATGTCGAGGACTCGTCAACTACTAAGCGCTACTGTCGGCGATGAAGTAATTCCCTTCGCATCAATTCATGCAAATGCCCCGTAATTCAAGGTCTCGATCACACCCCGTCTTGCCCGTGCTCCATCAGAACTGAAGCCGCAGCAGAGCTGGCTGTGTCCTCCACTATCAATTGCGTCGTCGGAGAGATATCGTTGGCGGGATCTAGAGAATCAGCCGAGAACTCTGCTAACGCCAGAGAACTCAATTCTTTGGGGATCAAGACGCCATAGCGTTGGTCATTGTTTCTGGCGTTGGACGTGCGAGAGATTCTGTGTGCTAATGGATACGTCGGTTGGATGCAGGATAATATTCCGAAATGCAAAGGGTTCACTTCATTCCGTGCCTGGTCAGAGGCCAATTGAAAGCTCGTGTCGTGATCCGTGCTCTTTCTGCTGTCATCCAGGCGCAGATCGCCCAGACTTGGATATGATTCATCTCCATGCCGGCTTTCAGCCAAAGTGTCCAACGCTCTGTCTCAGAGTCCAGAGGATCTCATACCGACAACAGAGCGTACGTCTCATCCATATCAGTCGAGATGCATCTGCAATGCCGTATGTGGCTTCGTTGATTTCTCGGCGGCCCAGAGCAGCACAGTCCCCTCGCTGTGACAAGGAATGCACCCCCAACCCAAACTGTGGTGTTGTGGCCATCCTAGCAAGCTTGCCGGCATTCCAGGACGTCAGCTTGCTTGAGATGTGATAAACGGTACGGTCCGTGCGGTCTTTGATCGACGTCTAGCTGCCTCTAGGATCGACAAAACATCCGTATCAAATAAACCTGGAGGAATAGTTAGTTATTTACTGGATAGCTGGAGTACCCCGAGCATGCATGATGGAAATTACTGCATCTCTGTTCATCCCTTTCTTGGCCGAGTTGTGTAACAGATCATTTTCAGGGTTGTTACTCCCTGGGCAGCACAGGTTTGGTCTCGATTTCACTCGTCCAGCGTCATTATGACATTCCGATTGCCTTGGGTTACATCTCACACCGGAAACTCGGCCGCAACCAACACAACCCACGAGTGCTGACAATTGGTACAGAAACCTCGACTTACAATATTTCAGACGGCATATTATTTCCAGGGGTTGGATCTGCAGTGGCTGCAACAGTTGGGAGTTGAATGTGACGCTCTACGTAGCTTAGCCAAAGGGTACCTCGTAGCCATAGGGTAACTTGATTTATTCTAACGTACCTCAGGTGGTGCGTCTAAGCAAGCACAGAATAATCGTAATCTGGTCTGTGATACTGGAGATAGAAAGTCCCGTGATCAATGGCGGAAGCACTTTGCCGGTTTACTGGTGATACAGTACGGGTAGGTATGGGCGGTCTAGTAGGTACATCTTCTTCCCGTGTTATGCCCTGGCGCATAGCCCAAGAGTCTTGGAATCAATCGTCAGGCATGGCATGTATGACTTGGCTTCTCCAGACAAACAAAGAAGAGGGAGTGTGAGTGAGACAACAATCGAAAACCAACCGATCAACCAACACACTGACACATCAGTGGCCCCTTCACACAACAACCATGTGTTTATCTCCCCTGGCCGTTGTACTGTACTGTATGTCGTACCTGAATGTCTGTGTGTAACTGAGTGCCCAATTCGCCATGTCGATTGGCTAGTTGAGCTCTGAGCAACGGCTACAGAACCCGGGCATGGACATTGACCATATTCTTTATTGTTCAGTTTGTCCCTTTGGCTGTCATACTTGATTCAAATCGCCAAGGCCAGCTGGGGCTGATGTACCTGGTTCTCAGCACGATGAAGTGCTTTCGGTTGCTCAGAGCAATTGATGACTCCTCGAGAAGTGATACTACGGAATAGAAAGACTACTACAATGACCTGCCTATGTAAAGTACGCAAGATAAAGATCAGATAGTAACGGGCGCTGTTGTTGAGTCTCAGACCTTGAGCGCCTTTGGCTGAAAGCCACTGCCCACACTTACACTGGGCAGCCCCAAATCCACCTACCCCCCTCACCTCACCCCAGAATCTCCCCCAGGTCAATGAAGATCCATCCATCCTGCCCCTCACAAACACACAACACCCCTACAGCCACTAGCCATGCACCCCCAGCTTCACCACGAACCGCTTCTCGATATCCGATCCTTCAGCGTATCAGAGAATACCGACTCCTCCGCTTGAAAGAGGGCTTATCTCTCTTATCAGTCTTTTCTCCCATATCTCGTCTACCCGCCATGTCTTCAACTCCCTCGCCGAGTAACACAAACGCGCTTATCGACAATAGCAATTGATGGTTCTACTCTAAACCGGGATCGGCTCTCTGATGCCAGTCGTATCGTTTCATTCGTATCTCGGTCGGTTTCCGATAAGCTTCCCTTCGCCACACACGTATCTAGCAACATATCCTTGGATTCTCAAGGTATTCAATCCGTTAAAACCCGAGAAACAAAACTCGAATCAAGCAAACACACCAGGTTGTCCTCGGACCCTCCAGGCCCTCTACGCCATGACCCATCAACCATCAGCCATGCTCCGCCATCATACCCATCAAATGCTGCTGTTTTGGTCAAGTTTAGTATAGGCGTTGATTTTGCTGACAGCAGAATACGTTGTAGTAGGTAGTCTTGGTAGTGGGCCGGTGAAGGCTCTGCTGTGAAACGCCCTGCAGGCGACCTTGAGGGCCAATACACTTCCAACTCGGCTTCATGTTCTCCTCGCCTCAACTCATTGGCTGCAATGGCTTGCATCATC